ATAATCTAAGGTAACCACTGGTGATTGGCTACACCATAAGGACCGGTTTTTATTGAAGCGAAAAATAATCTGATATGAGTATTTTGTAATAAAGATCAAAACACCTGCTCATCAAATCCCTTAGTGCGTCGGCGAACCATATCGTCTGGGGTTTGATCCCCGGCCGACGCACTTCTAGACCTCGCTAAACCAGTAATAAGACTGGTCAAGAGGGAAGGTTGGGCATGAGGCTAGCGACCCTATCCCGTAAAAAATAAAAACCACTTCTACCGAAACTTCAAGCCTCTAGTTTGAAGTCATATGTTCCACTGGGGACGTAATGGAATAAAAAAAATAATTCATTAAATTGAACATTCCCATAATTTATTCAGAACAAAATATATTTAGAGCGAATAATTGTTTTCAATAAATTCTTCTTCAGGCTGTACAATTATAAATCCGGGGATCGAACCCCGGACCATGTGCATGGTCGGCGAGCGTCCTAACCGCTATGTCACCGACGCACTTGTTCTAAATAATTCATTCTTAACCTGTCGACTTCTTTTTTCAACTGGAGATGCTATATTATTCTTGCTTAATGGAGTTCGGTGACTTGGTCTGTGCGCTACATTATAAGCCATACCTCATTATATGACAGTTACCGAGGCTGAAGTTGGTCAAATGAGATTGAAGTCAGGGTAGTACTGCTGGCAGGTTTAGCTCCTAAGCTACTGTGCCAAAGATGTACGGTTGTTTTGCTCCAACGTAATAAATTTCTAGGTTCAAATGCACAGACCACTGTACTGCTTTATTAAATATTGAAATTATGCTTTTGAAAAAAAACAAAAAAACAAGAAACAGAAGTACTTACGAAGCGTTTTTAAGTCAAGGAAGTATTATTTTTGTCCAAAGTGTTCTGCTTAATCTGTTTGATGACTTTACACAGACATATTGATGGACAGGTAGGTAAGGATGGCACATACCCTTTATTTCTCAGTATTCGACAAAAATAATCCCCACTATTTTTAATTTCACTATCGGAAGGCTAAATTAGAGTTGAAACACAGAAAGGGATTAGCAGAATTGACAGTTGTGTGTGTGTTTTTTTCCCCTTCACTTTCCATCCTCTCATCACACCCCTTTCGCGCCAATTTATTAAATGAGATGTTGTAGAGGATTAATAAATAAATAAAATTCAATGTTGATAATATATTTTTTCTTTTCCTTTCCTTATCAGAACCGTCGACAGTGCATAAATATATAAAATAAATGGTTTGAAAATAAACTGCTAACATTCAAGTTTGTTGACTTATTACTAAAAACAAGTGCAATATGCATTTATTGCATCCTATATGCAGAAAAAATATTTCCCGCTGCGCTGTTCCACAGGAGGGAGTAGACAGTTAGTTGGATAATAATGTTGATTGCAGGATCTAGTATCATAACATTTTTGTTTGTACTAATTTATGAATGAATGTGCGTCTGTATGTTCATTAAGCCTCTCCAGATGTTATAGAATTATCATTATTATTAATATTACTGTAGAAAATAATAATAATTATTATTATTATTACACAACTTGTAATCCTATCTATACACGTACATGAATAGAAAAAATGTTATGTGTATGTATGGTGGGTTTCTGAAATATTTTATTACAATAATGATAGACTGGTAATTCAGTTTTGCGAACATTTGGAAGGGATTTGCGATTCACTCGTTAATTTACAGAATCAATAAACTTTTGTATACGCATTTGTCTGTTTACATATAAATTTCATATATAATTATACACAAATTATGTGAAAGTTACTTTTTGCAAAGTTATATAACATTTTTTTTAAGAAAAAGGTTTCACTGATTCACTTATCAAACATTCATGTAAATTTAATTCAAGAATGGTTTTCATCATAAGTTTTACACAAGCGGATTCAACATTAAACAACGTTAAACATCGGATACTGAAGCTTTTGATATGTTCATATGCAAAATCCACTAAAAATTTCTCAATAATATAATCTGTGTTCTCAAGAAAAAGGGAACTAATTTTTTTATATAATACAATCTAGACTCCAAGTGTAGGGTGCAGCAGGTCGGGTGTGAGGACAAATACTCGCCGAAGACATTGGCTAGGGGTCGCGCTATGTTGTGAATTGGCAGAAGTTAGAATTCATGGACTGGCCATTGGATCGGGTCTCAGTGGCTCAGTGGTCTGCGAGTTAGCTCGCCTTGTAACCAGAAGGTCCTGGGTTCGAGCCCTGGCGCGATGGCGCGCGTACCGCTGGAGAGTCCCAAACTAGGACGAAACAGCTGTCCAGTACTGCCTGTTAGTTTTCCAATGGTTCTCTAACTGGTGTCAGCTCATGATGAAATCCTGTAACCAATCAAATCCCTACAAACCAACACTTGAAAATGTAATTTTCTTGTAATGTAACTTTCCAGGAAAACAATAATGTGCTTTCTCGCTAAATACTGACATTCTGTTCCGAGAAAAATTTATTTTCAGTTTAACTATTTATTAAACGTATTATAAGAATAAAGTAGTCTACACTACTTTTGCTTTGTTAACGGGTATTACTAAGTATTCACAAAAGTAGATGTTTTCATTAATAAAGCCTATCTGATAAATATTGCTAATTTTGAAATACTGAATTTACTCTATATGATTTACAGATTTTAAAATGTCTTAGTTTTGAATTTTACTGATGGTATATGAATGTCAGTGAACACTTAAAAGTATTCCTTAAACTTAAATTTGTATCCATAGTTTATACTGATGTCTGTTTACATAATAGTATCGTCTTTTTTATCACTGCAAAATTTTACAATTTCATTTACAGTATTCATATGTTTTTACGAGTTGATCACAGATTGATATCAGTTAGAGAACCATTGAAAACCAGAACTGGAGTACTGGACAGCTGCTGTTTCATCCTAGTTTTGGGAATCATCGGGAGTACGCACCCAATGCCAGGGTTCGAACCCAGGACCTTCCGGTTACAAGGCAAGCTGGCTCGTAGACCATTCAGCCAGTGGGACCCGATTCAATGACCAGTGCATGAATTCTAACTCCTACGAATTTGTGATTCCCAAACTGGGATGAAATGGCTGTCAGTACTCCTTGGTTTTCAATGCTTCTCTAACTGATATCAATTCGTGATCAACTCGTGAAAACATAACTAACCCTTACAAACCAAACTATAGAAAAATAATCTGATGCTCGCTAGTGACTTGATACAGGATGGAGTTTCCTGGAGTTCTAGTGAAAAGCAGTGATTAGTGAGGTTCATCCAGTCAAGTGTGAGGATGGATTTCCCACCAATGACATTGGTCGGGGTCGCACTAAATCACGAATAGGTAGAAGTTGGAATTCATGCACTGGTCATTGAATCGGGTCCCACTGGCTGAATGGTATACGAGCCAGCTTGCCTTGTAACCGGAGGGTCCTGGGTTCGAACCCTGGCAGTGGGTGCGTACTCCCGATGATTCCCAAAACTAGGATGAAACAGCAGCTGTCCAGTACTCCAGTTCTGGTTTTCAATGGTTCTCTAACTGATATCAATCCGTGGTCAACACTCCTGAAAATAAATTAAATGTCTCAAACAGATACTAGTTCACAATGAATGTTGTCTTGCATCTATGGTAAATTTTAGTGTACTTTAGAAACACTCTAACTAAGGTGACATAGCCAGTCTTGTCTTTAAAAAATCCGACAGCAATCGATATTAGATAAATAAGTGACTAGTTAACCAAGCATGTGTTTACTCGTCTTTAATTTTTGTACTCCTTAAATTTGTATTCACTAAATCCATCATGCGCAAAATAACGTATTTTAGTGACTATTTGTGTGATTACCATTAAAGTTATTAACTTTAGTTCAAGCTTGCAACAAGGAAGAATATATATATATATATATAAAATGTTCCAGAATAATCGTCATTAACAATTATCGGTGTTCTTAAATACCATCAATTTGATAAGATAAATGAAATTACAATTCGAGAAAGATGCATGAGTCATAATGAGCATAAAAATGTAATAGTAAGTCGAATATCAAATAGAACTAAGGAAGTTTTTACAACAGAGGCAGGATCGTCAAAACCTTGATGGCCAACGGGGTAAGGAAAGTGTCTGAACCGATTTTCATTTGGATACATAAATTAGGTTTCTGAATGCAGATCGCAACAGTCTCAGCAATATGTAGCAGACGAACTGTTGAGGTAAAATTAAGACTAGTTGGTTGGTATACGGTAGATGACTCTGAAGGACTTATTTACATCAATTTTGTGTTCTGTATCTATGTGATAAGAAAGTATAGAACTATGAATGTATGTGTTTGACCGGTTTTTAACACAATTTTTGTAGTTCTACTGTTTGACTTGATTTACAACCATATGGTATAAGCAATGTTAAGCTCCGGTGATGAATAAAGAAGGCGAATCAAGCAATGAAGCACTAAGCAGTCAAACCATTCTAGTCTTTGACGCTTTTGGTAGTCAGGTATTGAAAAAAAAATACAACAGTACGAGAGAATCCGGCTGGGAAATTTTGTGACGTGAGCAGAAGAAAATCCAGTACTAAATTCACAATGAAAAATAAAACTCAAAGGTAAACATATTTCAAGAATATACATGGGAACACCTGAGTCGAGTACATATAAGTACACAGCGATAATGTTTTTAACGTATGACCTAGATCATTTGCTTTTCGAATGTCACCACTGTGAATATTCTTTGTTGTTGTTGTTGTTGTTGTGCGTCGGTGGCACAGTGGTTAGGACTCTCGCCGACCATGCATATGGTCCGGGGTTCGAGCCCACGCCTACGCACACCTGATATCTATGGTCGGCCTGCAAATTTTGGGCTACCGATATCCATGGTGAAAATTCCATACTTGTACCAAAAATACGCTGTGGAATCAAGCTGTAAATCAAAAATAAAAAAAAAGTAAGAACTTGAATTGTACATTGATATAGAATTCAAATAGATTTTTACTTTACTTCTTCTTATGCCTCTTCGTAGAATTCATTAAAGTCGGTGAATAATTATCCTGCAAACAGACGATCATGCATAAATTCGTCATCGTCATTGTCGTCAGGATCTCCAGCACCACCACCATCAGCAATAACAACAACAACAACAATACGATCAGAGTCAAAATTATTCAATCATCCTATTTGTAATTACAACCAAACCTATGGTACTGTTTCAACATCTCAGTTAAGTCAACTGCATTCTCGTAAATGGACACGTTGAATAATTAATGGTGATTATTCACGAAGTCCATAATATTTGGGAGATTCATTTTCAAACTAGCTTATATCTTATCCTTTTCCTCTGAATCTTTTCTGGTCAAATGCATCTTTTCTTTATATTTATTTATTACCTTTTCATCCTTCCATTGTTAATCAACCTTGTTAACCCTTGTTTATATGACCTCCTTCTTTTACTGGTGTATTATATAATGATACATGCCTAAGTGAATGAATATTTTGTCGCACAAAAATTTAACTTCACTTTACATTTACTACGAATCAACACATTGCCGCTTTGTTATTGAGCTACTTCTTTATCCTCTTACCTCTGAAGTGTGTGTGTGTGACTGTGTTGTGATTACCTACGGCAGAGTTGTTAAATACTGTGGTACCTTTCGTATATTTCATTCCTAAATTTACCTTCCCCTGATAAGTCACCTCAGTGATTTATTCAAGTGTATGATACTGTTTACATGTGTGTATAAGCAATGCACAAACGCACACACACATACACACACAAAAAGGCACACAGAATCCTGTAAATTCTTTTCTATAATCTCAGACAATGATTCCAATATCTTTGTTTCGCGTTGAAAGAATTTTGTGATTGCTTTTTTTTTATATATAACTAGAATTGATATTATTTCTGTGTGAGCAATTGTGATTTACAAAAATGATTCTTTGTAAAATAATCCTAGAATGGACTCGTAATATTGTGCGTTCTGTTCTCGTTGAAACTGTGTTGACTTAACAATCAATGATGTTCTCAAGTATTGGTTTTGTAGGGATTTTGTTTGATTGCATGGAGGATTTAATCATGAGTTGACGTCAGTTAGAGAACCACTGAAAAACCTGGGAGTACTGGACAGCCATTTCGTCCTAGTTTGGAGCTCTTCAGTAGTACGCACCCACTGGGATACAAACCCAGGACCTTCTGGTTACAAGGCGAGCTCGTAGACCACTGAGCCACTGGGACCCGATCCAATGGTTCCTAAATTCTAACTTCTGTCAGTTAAAATTAATCTGATGCTCACTAGCGACTGGCCCTATTCAGGCAGTTAGTTAACCTGGGGTTCTAGTGGGAAGCCGTGGCCAGTAGGGTACAGCAAGTCGAAGATGGGGCAGTAACTCATCGAAGAAGACATTGCGAAGTGGTCGCGCTATATCGTGAATTGGCAGAAGTTAGAATTCATGGACTGGCCATTGGATCGGGTCTCAGTGGCTCAATGTTCTACGAGCTCGCTAGCCTTGTAATCAGAAGGTCCTGGGTTCGAGCCCTGGCGCAATGGTGCGTGTACTACTGAAGAGTTCCAAACTAGGGCGAAACAGCTGTCCAATACTGCCAAGTTTTCCAATGGTTCTCTAACTGACGTCAGCTCATGATTATATCCTCCATGCAATCAAAGATGTGATATTCATTCCCATTGGAGAGTTTATAAAGAGATAATTGCTTAAAGCTCTCTGGTATTCAACAGTTCTGTAACAGTTGCTAGTTTGTTGCGTTAAAATGTTATGAACAGAGGATGATGGTCAGCAAATCCATGATTGCTAATTACATATACCCCTTGTTCTGTTGTGTTACTGGACAAAACTAATCTAATGTTATACGTTTTCTAAACATTGTAGTCTGATTTAGATACATATGAAATTATCCCTGTAATTAGGTGTAAAGTAAGGGTGTTCTACGTATAGCCGTTTAGGTATTCGATGGTATAAATTGCTGTGATTTGGACTTGAGTATGCATTCACTACTACTTGATTGAATCCGGTTCTAAATATCTCTGTGATGAAACTGCTTTAAACGAATAAAAATCTATGAATATCACTGGGTCAGGAATAAACTCTCTGTATATATTGATATGATACTTAGTGTCATGAGGTTATGTTAACAATACATAATAATACATAATGGAGAAGGCGAACAAAATTCTTTACACTTAAAAATATAACTTTTGTTAAACATGTAATCATGGGATATCCATCACATTCCATTGAATGTATCACGACAGACCATTATAAATAAATGTGTCAGTGGTAATCCGGAGTCTTTTTACAGTAGATAAAAATAAGTGAACAGTGCGATGATGAGAATAAAGTTAGTAGAAATGGATGTGCTGTATATATAAGAGTGTATTAAGGAATTAGAAAAGGTAGAAGTGCAGGCTGACAGCTGTTTCAGATGTTTACTGAATTAGGCATAAGCTCCTACAACAAGAATAAATAAAATATGAATTTACAGAGTTCTTTATGGTGTTTCATTTCATCGATAAATAAGTTCACTTTAAAACTCGAATTATTTGCCAGCATTGATACCAATTCGAATATTGTCGTAATGAGCCGAAATTAGTTAGAGAGATCACTGAAAATTTGAACATTTTTATGGACACATTTCGTCAGTGGTTTATAACAACAGAAGAGTTGCTGTAAACTGCCTCGAGAATTAGAGTTTCTGTTATGATTTCAAAAGTAATTTTGAAAAACAACAAAATAATATATGCGATAGAGAAGATTTGTAGCTCAGGTGGATAATTTTGATGTGGTTGTGTTCTCTGAGGTGGATAGTTAATCTTCGAAGCTTTCATCGTCCTACTGGGCGACATCTTCAGCGCATACATTGGTAAAACCGGTTGAACCGATCACGTCCAAGGTCACCAGGAGAGATGATTAATAAACTCATGGAGAAATCCAAAAGCTCACTTCAAATTGAAGTATGCGCTGAAGATGTCACCTAGTAGGGCGATGAAAGCTTCGCAAATTAACTATCCAGCTCAGAAAACACAATCACATCAAAATAACGAATGTGTTAATCATCCTTCCATTTGTTACAATTTAAAATCTTTCTGACGTAATATTTAAGTCTCAGGTTTTTCTTCCTAAAGATCGACTACAAATAATACAACCTAATCACAACATTCTGTAGATATGTTTCTACTGGAAAGTAAGATTTTCAAATTTGTCTAGTCGTTACTGAATACCAGCAACTACCTGTCAACTAGCGAAATTATATTAATATAAGGGAGTCATTTTGTGTACTGAGACAGATTATTCAAAACATCTGAACATTGATTCAATAAATCTGTAATTTTCCCTAAATGGTCTAATATTACTAACTAAGTACACAATTATCAGATTTACATAACACAGAAAAAATTCATTGACCATATGTCGTAGACCCTCAAATTATACGTTGTCATCAATCCCTAAATTCTCTCAGAATGTCTATCTGGGAAACATTAGTAAAACGAATAATTTAAAGAAACCAGACTCATCATATTTTTGAAACTCTTTAGAAGTTCATATTCACGACCCCCTACCAGTCACACAATCCAAGAGCTATAGGTTATGACGCTTGACCGTTGACCATTTAGCTACTGAGTTAGGACCCATTGGTGTGTGGATTCTAAATTCTATCAGTTCGCGACATAACATGACGAGATCTACATTGAAGCTAATCAAAATCCTGACAAAAACAGGTGAGACTGCCCAGTTAGGTGCCGCCTCCAAAGATATTAAACAAAATCACCGAAGGAACCTGTGTGGAAGAACACTGGATCTCGTTGGTAGCGACGTGAAAGGAAGCCTGTACAAATATCATAGGGAAGTAGAAGTCGTGAGATGAGGAATGCCTGACTACAGATACCTAGGAGCAGATAGCTGAGAGACAGGTGACAAAACAGAAATTGAACCGGTGCAAAGAAGACCAACAAAAGGAGAAGCTGAGTACGACCTACAAAGCAAAGGAGGAGAGTCCTAGGAGGGCGATAACAGGCTTTTACGACACGGTGGCACCTGAAGCGTTACAGGTTATAGTAGAGAGAAGTGTCACAATAGTATATCAAGTAACTAGGTCTCTGTCCGGAAAGAAATCAAATCAACTGAAGCTAGTGAATAATGGTAAACGAAATAGCGAAGAAAACCGACATATCAAAGAAGTGGAGGATTGGAAACACTGAGCTCGCCGCTTTACAGGACATCCGGATCGATAATTAACTACAAGCCATCCAGGAATACAGCCACCAGTGAACACCGACTCTCTGATCAAAGCAGAAGTCTTGAGAGATGGGCAGGAAGAAAAAGGACTAGATAGGATTCCCCCAGAAGGACTGAAAACGGACCCGGAGACCTCAGTAGCTATGCTCACGTCATTAATGCAGCAGATGTAGTAGGAAGGAAAGGTACCTATCTGACAGCATGAAGAAAGACAATCGTATCAAACTTTCAAACTAGGGCGACTTGAGTCTATGCAAGAATCATGCTCTTGTCCACCCCAGTCAAAATTTTAAGGTATATCATCCTGAAATGATTAAAACAGGCGCTATATATGAGCATTCATTCACCCGGAAAATGCCGGCTTTAGGAAAAACTAGCCATAAATCATCCTAACAGCAACACTTCGCATTATTACTGAACAAAGCCTAGAATGGCAGTCAAATCTCAAAGCCAATATCATGGAATCTCAGAAGATTTTCGGCAGCGCCGCACACCAAGTGACTTACATCGGAAAGTCCGACAAAGCATTTGAAGTGAAAGCAGCCTACAATCACCTATGATATTCCTGATTGTCGTTGACTGGATCATGTGACATGTTTCACAAACTCAAAGATATACAAGTATAATGCGTCAAGTTATCAGAAGAGGCAGCGAAGACAGGATTTCAGGCGAATATAGAAAGAGGACAGGGGCGATGAAGATACCTGACTAGCAGCAAATACTAACTGCCACCAATGAAAGAAATGTAAAGGATGTTATCCCCTTCAATTACCTGGGAGTAGCACTGTCTCAACTACGCGTAGCCGCATGGGATGAGGATGTCGAAACCAGATCAAATCGGATTGAGAAAGGAAGTCAAGCGTTCATTAATCTGAAATCAATGTGAAGAATCCCGTGCGCTTAACACAATGAATATGGCCTAGATTTTCAACTCTATTATCAAATAAATGCCTATGTATGATTCAGAAATTTCCTGCGCGCTTCACCGAAATCAGGTATTGATTATTATTCTGAAGTAAACATTTCAAACAGACTGCAAACTCCCATCAATACCTGGCCGGAGTTTGAACTCCGGCGGTGTATATACTGATGAAGAGTAACAAACTAGGACGAAACAGCTATCCAGTACCCCCAAGTTTTCCAATGGTTCTCTAATCGATGTCAGCTCTTGATGAAATCCTCCATCCAATGAAATAAAATCCCTACAAAACCAATACTTAAAATGAATTGTGTTGCATAATCACAGCCATGTAGAGAACATTTTATTTTACAAGGCATATGAAGAGAGAGAGAAAGAGTTATGTATGCTCTGAAGAATGGCAATCAATACTGTTTTCAGATTCTCACAAACCCGGACATTTTCCCTAATGGTCACAAACAATTTAACTGGTTGGATCATATTACACATATTTAAACAAGACAATTTTGACAGCATTGCTTTTTTGTATTTTATATTTTAAGTAAAAGAAAAAAACTGTGTTGAAGGAAAATTGGAGATCATATTACAACTGGAGTCCACGTTGTAGAAATATGTTCTTACAGGTAAAATCCAGCTGGGGATTTATTACTAGAATTAGCTTTTGAAATACATCAACGGTAATGACAGTTCATTCATTGTCTTGACTCTGTTAAATACGAGAAAGATATTATAGGGTACAGACAGAAATTATAGAATTATTTATCTTAAAAATACCTTTATGTAAGATGTAT